GTGTTACAAAGTGTCATCATGTGTTAAAAGTGTAATTATTACCTCATGAATTGACATTAATAAATGCTTATTGAGTTCATTCAATTACAATATGTTTTTTACAAAAAATTTAAAAATGTTACAAAGTCATACGTAACAAATGCCCCCAGTTTATTAGGCTGACGTCCCTTGTCAGCTGCTAAGAAAACTGCGTGTGGTTGTGTCGTGGTCCCGATGTATCTTTCTTTGCTGTAGTGGTATGTAAAACTCGAAAGAGTAAAACTCTTTCGAGTTTTACAAACAATATGTCCTTGATATAATTTTTTTACATACAGCCTGCAGTATGTATGTAATTGAAAAACAAATTGAAAATCCCTATATGGGAAACCACATGGGATCCTATGTCAAAAACCATGTAAAACCCTACTTCCATGAAGGAAACCACGTGGTTTACCATGTGGTTTCCCATGTCAAACCATATGGGAAATTGAGACAGGATTTTAGATAGGAATAATCATAGGAGATTTGAACAGTTTGTCTTTGCATAAAACCATATCAAATCCCACATGAAATCCTGCATGTTTTTCCCAGTCAAATCTTAAACCAAATTCTATGTGAAAAACAGTATCATTTATTTATAATTATTTTCTCAAGTCAATCCCCAAGTGAAATCCTTTTTTCTTTTTTAAATTTTCCCATGTCAAAACCTAAACCAAATCCCATGTGAAAAACATTATCCGCCTTACTTAATATCCCTACATGGGAATCCACTTGGAATTTTACAACGGATTTCACATAGGATTTTATATGGGAATTGACATAGGATTTCATGCAAGATTTCACCTAGGATTTAATATGAGATATCACATATTATTTTATTAAAGATCCAATGAAGAAATTTTCAAAGGATTAAAAATTATTTAATAAAAAATTAAATAATAAATAGTATTAGTGTTACAAGTAATCAAAAAAGTAAAAAAATTGATAATTTGAAACACGTCCTCTGTGCTACAGGTTCTCAGCTCTTATATACTTCCAGAATCGTCTCAACAGCGAGAGAAGTCACTTTCGCCACCTAGCGGTGAACGTATAGGAGCAACAGTAATCTTTAACATTACTAAGGAAACTATGTGGAATACCACGTAGGATACCATGTGGTTTCCTATGTGGGGATTTACATGGGATTATACTTAGGAATTTACGTAGAAATAAATTCCCAAATGAATTCCTAAGTAAAATTCCATGTAAATCCCCACATAGGAAACCACATGGAATCCTACGGGGTATTCCACATAGTTTCTTTAGTAATGTTAAAGATTACTGTCGCTCCTATACTTTCACCGCTAGGTGGCGAAAGTGAATTCTCTTGCTATTAAGACGATTCTGGAAGTATATAAGAGCTGAGAACCTGTAGCACAGAGGACGTGTTTCAAATTATCAATTTTTTTACTTTTTTATTTACTTGTAACACTAATACTATTTATTATTTAATTTTTTATTAAATAATTTTTAATCCTTTGAAAATTTCTTCTTTGGATCTTTAATAAAATACTATGTGATATTTCATATTAAATCCCAGGTGAAATCTTGCATGAAATCCTATGTCAATTCCCATATAAAATCCTATGTGAAACCCTTGTAAAATTCCAAGTGGATTCCCATGTAGGGATATTGAATAAGGCGGATAATGTTTTTCACATGAGATTTGGTTTAGGTTTTGACATGAGAAAATTTAAAAAAAAGGAAAAAGGATTTCACTTGGGGCTTGACTTGAGAAAATAAATATAAATAAATGATACTGTTTTTCACATGGGATTTGGTTTAGGATTTGACTGGGAAAAACATTCAGAATTTCATGTGGGATTTGATATGGTTTTATGCAAAGACAAACTGTTCAAATCTCCTATGATTATTCCTATCTAAAATCCTGTCTCAATTTCCCATATGGTTTGACATGGGAAACCACATGGTAAACCACGTGGTTTCCTTCATGGAAGTAGGGTTTTACATAGTTTTTGACATAGGATCCCATGTGGTTTCCCATAAGTATTTTATTTAAAAAATATTTTCATAACGCGGTGCAAAAAAGCCTTCTTTTTACAATATAAATATTTTCGTTGTTTTATGTTAACATTTGAAATGATTCTTTAAAATAAAGGCAAACTTTTTGTTTTATAAGAAAAAAAATAACTCGTTTCCTCTTTTTTTGTTTTAGAAAGATTTTTAAATATTTTAGTTTGCTTTTTTGAGTTACTTTACAGTGGTAGAAAATTTTGTCGTTGATTTGCACATTGTTTGTTTATATTTAATATGTTTTTAAGATTTAAAATTTTAACTTTTTAAACATGTAGCGTAGAAAAAAAATGTTTTCTATTTTAAATTTTATTTATTCTATTTTATCAAATTAGACATTTGTTTTACTTCCAGATACATAACCTTTTTTATTTTATTGACAATGTTTATAGTTTTTATAATTTTAGTTAACGTTTAATTTCATCTGTTTAAATTTTTTTTAATCGTATGTATATAAGTACACAATTTCTATTAATTTTAAACGAAGAATACATATGATGCATTTTACGTGAAATGTCCTAAGTTGAAATTTCAACTTCTTGAAAAAAATTGAAACTCAGGGAATTTGTTGCTCTATCAAGTAGAAATGTGCCCCAAAAAATATTTTTGATTTTTTCGAAAATTTGGAGGGGTTAGAGGGGGGTCAATTTAACCAATTTTGCTAACACCGGCTACTTTGTGAATTTTTTCTGAACATACTTGTAATGGGAAAATTTTTTTAGAATATGTTTCTAAAAGGTTTTTTCGTCTTCTTTCTAATGGTGTATTTTATTTTTTAATATTAAAAAAATTTACCCTAATTTTTGATAATTAATATTTAATTTTCAATTTCCCAAAAATCGGTCCGTTTTGTTTTGAAAATAAATTATTGCAAACGAAAGCTGAGGTTTTTTCCTATCGGCATGTAAATTTTCAAAATGTCCTTTTTTTGTTTTTGAGTTATTAAATTTCAAAGAATAAATTGCAGCGCGCTGCGTCGCGGTTGCACTGAGCCGCGTGGCAACTGGCGTGAGACGAGGCGCCCGGGACGCAATTTATTCTTTGAAATTTAATAACTCAAAAACAAAAAAAAGGGCATTCTGAAAATTTACATGACGATAGGAAAAAACCTCAGCTTTCGTTTGCAATAATTTATTTAAAAAAAAACGGACTGATTTTTGGGAAATTCGAAAATTAAATATTAATTATCAAAAATTAGGGTAAATTTTTAAAATATTAAAAAATATAATTCACCATTGGAAAGAGAACGAAAAAACCTTTCAGAAACATATTCTAAAAAAATTGTCCCATTACAAGTATGTTCAGAAAAAATTCACAAAAGAGCCGGTGTTAGCAAAATTGTTAGCTATTTAGCATAATTTAATCAAAGCATCAATGAAACATAATTTGTTTTTAAAAATATTTCAACGAATAATATACTTGTTCTTTATCGAAAAGTATAGTACTAGTATCTTGAAGTTTAATTCGAATTAACATTTGGTTAATTTTGTTAATATTAATAAAGACTATATATACAAATTTTTAAAACAATATTATAACTTCTTGTTGATTTTATACATAATTGTAGAAAAATAAACATTTTAATCAGGTAATTATCTATTTTAAATTAAATTTTTCTAAATACCAATTTTTAGTAAAGGTGTTTTTTATGTTTCCTGTATTCAGGAAACACCATTTTTCTAAAACTTGTTATAAAAAAAATTGTTTCTTTAATATTCTAGTGCTTTGTACAAACTTTATTTCTTAGCAAGTGTTTATGCAATATTAATCCAAATTAGTATAGCATTTGTATATGTTAGTATTTGACTTATTACTTATTCTTTCTTAGATTAACTTTTTCTTTCAAGAAAAGTAGTAACAAATTTTTAGTCCTATGTTTCATTTATTATACTATTAATTTTATATTCTACTATTTTATCCCTTGTTACATATTGAATTAGATGTCATTTAATGTCCTCAATTTTAACTTTACTTTGTTTATTCAACCAGAATTTAGTTGTTCAAAATAAATTTTTCGTGAAAAGACTTTTAGTATATGTATATTAAAAATGTAGATAAAAAAGATTAAAGGTTTTTTTATTTTACTACAATAAGTATAATAAATATATAATAAATATACAATAATGTATAATAAATATACAATAAGTATAATAAATAAGTAAAGCTTTTTTTCTCATATAGAAGAATTGATTTTACTGCAATATAAAAAATTTGAGATAGGGGAGAGTGGGGCTGATTGCACCATACTTGATATTTCTTACATTTCTCGAGATTTCTGAGTGTTGATCACATATGGTGTTAGTTACACATAACACCTAACCTTATACTTCGAAAAAATCTTCCAAGAAGGTGCCCAAAAAGAAATTGAGAAAAAAATCAGAAAAAATAAACTATTATAAAAATGTTATGGTAACTTAATTGAAAAATGTTTTTCTTCTAATTAAACTACTTTATAATAAAAACAATCTTAGTCTACTATTTATTTATTGCCTTTTTGAAATTAATGAACGTACTTAACAATATTTAATAGTCGATTTGATGTAAATTCTTTAATTATAAAAAGTGGGGTGAAAGACGCCCCACCTATGGGTCGTCTTGCATCAATAGCGACTTTTTTTCAATGTTGTTGCCATGATTGGATCATTTTATAACGAGACATATACCTTTTTACTTTTAAATCATAAATGAGTGATTGCTCTTTTAATTTATCGTATATAACCTATGAAATAATTGATATTATAATAGTTATTAAATTAAAAAAAAGTGGTGCAACCAGCCCCACTCTTCCCTAAACTCAACATATATAAAGTAGAGAAAAAGTATGTCTGCAGATATAAATTTAAGATGGTGAATATATGTATATAAGAAGAAAAATCCTAGAAAATTGACCATTGCTGTTGATCCGTTGTATATAGATATATAGAAACATATGGATGTTTGTGTTGTAGGGATTACGCGTAGGACATACATCAGACATTATGAACCTGCCTGGTACGACACGAATACTTTGCAACGGCATCAAGAGAGGGTGCGTCGCGACGCTCCCGACTCCATCAGGGATCAACCGTTAATCTTGCGTGTTCACGTCTTCGACAGGTGAGTCACATGAAAAAAATATTACTATTATTCATCCCCCTTCCGCTCCTCCATTTTTTGAACATTCAAAAGAAACGAAAGAATTTATTGCCTTCAAATTTTAAATATTGGAAGAATTTTGAAAACATTTGTAAGGTAAGTTATTTTGGAAGAAACCAGTACACAGAAAAACTTTGTTTTAGAGTTATTCCTGAATTTATTTAAGAATTGAGCGCTTGGTTGTGTTTTTAATAAAATTTATTTAATAAATTAATAAATTTATTAATAATTAAAATTATTTAAATAATTTGTTAATTAATTAATATTTAATAATGTTTCCCATAATATCATAACAAGTTTCCGCAGTCGAGCGGCATTAGGCAGAGATCCTGTAATCTCGAAGAATTCGAGTAGAGTAGAACTGGGTGAAAAAGCCACATTTTTACATTTGAAGCTATAAAATCTGAATTTAAAATGTGTTTCTCGTATTTCCAATTGTCATTGAAAATGTAGTTATTAAGCTTGAATATTCTTGACGGAAATATTTTTTATCCCATGAAAGGACTAAGTTATAAGAGTTTTACGAAAGCACTGCAAGTGGCTTTTTTGTACCACCTGGTGGGGGAAAAAGCCACCTCGCGATGTTAGCAAAATATGTTATTAATTTTGGTATTTTTATAGTTTTCCTTTATTTATATGACAAATAATCTTATTTTTAAAATATTTTAATTTCGGTATTTTTTTTCAAGGACCTTAATTTTTGTCGAATTTATTAGCGAATGCATTTTCGCTGTAAACACAGCTCATCAGGACTAAAAACAATATATTATACATAAGAGAGTAAGAATTTTTGAAACGTGCCACCTAAAATTCAAAAAATTTATTTTTGGCCAAAATGTTGTTTTTTCTATAGTGCTTTACATAAAAAAACACTATGTCAAAGGATTTGCCAAAAAAAAAATTTTTGTTATTGTTATAAACAATTAAAGTTTTCAGACACTTTTTTTTTAAAAATTAATTAAAAAGAAACTTGTTAACCGATTTTAATGATTCAAGAGGCTTTCTTTTTTATTTGAGTCAAAGTTTTGAATAAAATTTTTTTCGTAAAAAAATATTGAAATTTAATAAATAAACAAATTATTTATTTATAACAAATTAGCAAAAAACCATGTTCTCAATCGAATTTCAAAATGAAAAAATAGTACTTATTCTCTGATTACCACTGAGTAATATTCCGTTGAGAAAAAAATGGCACGGCTTGGACAACTGACTTATTTAAACATTGTTTATCCCGAGCAGAACGGGATTTGCATGTGACGTCACGCGCAACGGTCCATTGACGCGGGAATCTAAGAGAATATCAGAGGAATATCAAAAATAATATTAAAATAATGTTTAAGTATTTCTTATGGACGAAAAAAACTATAACAATTTAATTAATTGTTTAAACAATTAATTTTTGTTATTTTTTCATAAACAGTAGTTTTTTTTCTATATTATGCATTTTTTGTAACGAAAGCACTTAAGTATAACAAAACTAAAAATTATCTAATTATTTAAACATTATTTAAACAATTTATTTTGTTAATTTTTCAATTAACTGTACTTAACTAGAAATTCCTTAGTTTTTCTCAATTTTAAATTTTTTTTATAATTTAAATACTTAATTATAATAGTAAAACTAAAAGAATGTTATTTAACCATTGATAAACAATTAATAATTTTTCAATTGATTATACATTTAGGGCATTTATAATTTTTCAATTGATTATAAATTTAGAGCATTTATAATTTTTCAATTGATTATAAATTTAGGGATAAAATAATAATATAATAATATAATAATAATAATATAATATATAATATAATAATAATAATAATAATAATAATAATAATAATAATAATAATAATAATCCCCGCCGATGGTTGTCCACTACCGAACATCATCGATGTCTTTGACGTACTGGGAGAAGCGGATCCACTGCCAAATATCATTGATTTCTTTGATGTGCTGTGAGAAGTGGATCCACTGCCAAACATCATTGATTTCTTTGATGAGCTGGGAGAAGTGGGTCCGCTGCTAGACATGATTGATTTCTTTGATGAGTTGGGAGAAGTGGGTTCGCTGCCAGACACGACTGGCATCTTGGATATGTTCGGTAGACCTTGCCGTGGTGGCGGGGCTTTTCACTAAAGGACAACCAACAGGGTGGTTCCCTGATTTTAAAACCAAAAGAAATGAATGAAATGGATAAAGAATCACATAAATTACTCCAAGTGGGTACCTCGAAAGAGGGTAATCCCACCACCGATTCTGATCGGGTGCAAGCCTCGATAGTCGGTGCAGATGGCTCCAGGGATTTTGGAGGGAGCCAAATAGATAGCCAGGTGACATGCTACGAATCAAATGTCGCAAATCAGTTCCTGGCTATTCCGGGAATTTTTAAAAGCTTGCGCCAAGGATTCAAGCGACAAAAAAAACGTCGGTCGTGACATCCAGGATGGCGTGACGGTTTTGGAAAATGCGTTCGATATAATCTGTAAGAATTTACGTTTTATCCCCGAGCCTTTCAAAGACCAAGAGCCGCAATTTCCAACTGTGGAAACTCCACGGCAGACGAAGAGTGTTATTGCAACCCGGGATAGCGCGGCTGCAGGCGCAACTAAGACGAAAAAGGTTAATAAGCGCCCTAGGGAAGGAGTAAGCCCGGATGTGAGTCCACAACGAGCGACTCAAAGTGAAAAGAGGATTAAGCGAAAGGATGCTCCACAGCTTAATCCTGAGTCGCTAGTTGAAGCAAAAGGGGCGTCCTCAAGTAGTCCTAGTAAGACGTATGCCGATACCGTCTTGAAAGACGGAGCGGACATTGAGGATGACTTTAAGGTTGTTGGAGAAAGAAAGAAACGGGCTCCAGGAAGAAAGACCAAAGGCGAGAAAAAAGAGCTCACGAAGCCCCCTTCGAAACTCAGGTCCACGGAAGCTGTGAAGATCACGGCAAGAGACCCAAAGTTTTACGAGGGTATCTTGCCGCTGATAAAAGAAAAGGTTAAACCTGAAGATACAGGCACCGTGGTACAGAAAATCAGGAGAACTTTTAAACAGGAAGTTCTCCTGATAGTGAAAAAGGGTGGAGAGACCTTAAAATTTGCGAAAAGTCTGTCCTTGGCCCTGCATGGCAAGGCTGAGGTCATACCTCTTGTAAATAAGAGGTCTCTAGAAATCAGAGACCTGGATGAAGCCACTACAGAGAGTGAGGTGACTTCAGCATTGGAAGAAAAGCTGGGCAAGTCCGACCTGCCTATAGAGTGCAAATTACTGCCGCGCTACAAAGGAACTAAGGTTGCTCTAATCCGCTTGGCAGAAGCAGAAAGTGACATTCTGCTTAAACTTGGCCGAATCAAAATCGGCTGGATAAATGCTCAAATTCGCGAGCATGTTGAAGTAGCTAGGTGCCAAAAGTGCTTAGCCTATGGACACTCTACCCGAACCTGCAAAGGCCCCGACAGAAGTAAAAACTGTCGGAGATGCGGCGGAGAGGGACACCTCGCGAAGAGCTGTAAAGTGAAGCCGAAGTGCCTTACGTGCTTGGACCTGGGGAAGCCAGAGACGGATCACGATTCCGGAAAGAGAGCCTGCCCGGTTTACAGAGAAGAACTGCAAAAGATTAAAAGGGCAAATCCTTAAAATTTTTGCAGGTGAACCTGCATACAAGTAAGGATGCACAGTTGCTCCTAATGCAAACAGCAAGGGAAAATGAGGTCGATATCCTGTTCTGCAGTGAGCAGTATCAAGGAAGCGACCTCGCCCCTTGGTATCAGGATAAGGCAAAGAGAGCCGCCATAAAGCTGTGCAACCCAGAATTGCGGGTTGACAAGTTTCTGGAGACGAGCAGTGGGTTCGTGTGGATAGAGGTGGCTAATATACGTATGTATAGCTGCTACTTCTCACCCAACGACCCACTGACAAACTTCGAAGCCAATATCGAAGACCTAGAAGCGAGCCTCACAGAATCCAGGCTGGATGTCATCATCACTGGTGATTTTAACGCAAAGTCGCCAGAGTGGGGTGAGACGAGACTCGACAAGAGAGGAATTTGTATTGGAGAAATGATCTCCAGAAACGACTTATTGACAGTAAACCGAGGCAATACATGGACTTTTAGACGAGGTGCAATCGGATCAATTATAGATCTAACAATCGCATCGTCTAAACTTTTTAGCCGCATAACCGACTGGCGGGTCTCTGAGGAATATACCGCAAGTGACCACCAGTATATTGAGTTCTCAGTCTCGATGGGAGACACACGAGGAGGAAAAAGACAGGATGCTCCTAGTCGCAAAATCTCCTCGTGGAATATGAAGAGACTCGACAAGGAAAAGTTCGGCCGGTCCCTAAGAGAAGCCCTTTTAATTGAGGACTTGGGCTGGGTGAAGAGGCCGAAAAGTCTAAATGGAGAGGTGCGAGCGGTGCGAAATATAATCTTCACCGCTTGCAATGCGTCGATGCCACGTCGCAAAGGAGCCTTTCCAAGGAAAAAATCCTTGCACTGGTGGTCAGAAAAGCTGGCCTCCTTGAGAAAGGAATGCCTCAAAGCAAGAAGGACATACACCCGATCTAAGGGAGATCCCTTGCTGAAAGAGGCTTTCAAGAAGGCGAAAAAGAACCTCAAGAAAGAGATCCGTAAGTCGCGACGCCGTAGCTGGAAGGACCTAATCGAGGAAGTCGACAAGGACCCATGGGGTCTGGCTTTTAAAATAGTGACTAAGAAATTAGTGACGAGGCAAAAGACCCCCGGCCTGGACAATCCCGATTGGGTCAGAAAGATAATAAGTTCTTTGTTTCCTCCTGCGGAGCCATACCTTAGAAGGGACTGGAGTTTTTGCAAAGTCGAAGAGGAAGAACTCTTCACACTTAGTGAACTGCAAAAAGCAGGCAAAAGATTGAAAACAGGCAAGGCGCCTGGAATCGATGGGATAAGTAACGAGATCCTAAAGTTGGTAATCGACACTTCACCCCAGAT